TCATTGATGTTTCTCTCTCTCTCCCCCCCTCCCTCCCTCCCTCTCTGAAACCAATAAAAATACATATTTTTTTAAAAATCACTTCATCAGAGAGGACTATGCGGTACACCATTAATACCACCATTTTTCCTTCTCTATATTATGTTCCTGCTTTCTTTTTCCATAAAGCAGTTATCATCACCTGACATCATATACACTTATTTATTTACTACATATTTCTGCCATTGCAGTGAAAGCCATAATGGCAGAGACAATGTCTGTTTTGTTCGCTGTTATTTCGTCAGTACCTGGCCCATTGTAGAAATAGCAGTATTATTATATGCACTAATAATGGTGACTGTACATATCTAATTAAAATAACACATTTCAGAGACAAATAGCAATTATCAATACCATATGGCAAAAACATCAAATGGGGAAGGCATGTAACATGAATAGATGAATAGAAGGGGGGGGTGCAAATCAATATTCATTGTTTTTTGAGGATACCTTAGAAGTATATGTCTTTGATTGTGATGGTCGTAACAGGACTGTGTGTATATATATATGCCCAAACTCACCAGATTGTATACATTAATTATGTGCAGGGTTTTTTTGTTTGTTTTTTTTAATATATTTTTATTGATTTCAGAGAGGAAGGGAGAGGGAGAAAGAGATAGAAACATCAATGATAAGAGAGAATCATTGATTGGCTGCCTCCTGCACGCCCCCTACTGGGGATCGAGCCTGCAACCTGGGCATGTGCCCTTGACTGGAATCGAACCTGGGACCCTTCAGTCCGCAGGCTGACACTCTATCCACTGAGCCAAACCAGCTAGGGCTATTATGTGCAGTTTTTTGTATACTAATTATACCTCAGTAAGCTAGGGGGAAAAGAAGCCCACCTGTACTCCAATGCACAACAATAAGTAGGTCAAGACTTCACTACAGTCCTGTAAATAGCTTATGAACCTTTCCATTTTTAACACATTAAGTGCCCAGGCTGTTTTGTCTTCTGGACGGAAAGTATAGTGTCAGTCACCGGCGAATGACATGGGGCTTAACGTGTTAAAAAATTGTGTTGTAAGGCACCATCCAATTTTAAATTTACAGCCTTCGCTATATCTAGCAACAGCAACTACAGCATTTATACTACCATCAATTAAAGAGGTCTGGATTACTACCGCTAAAAAAAATGGGACTGTATTATACTGTCCTAAAATGAAGGAGTCAGAAGAAAAAGTATGATTTGTATGCTACTACACAGAAAAATGAAGTCTATGTTCTTCCCAATGTTGGGTTATTCCTTTTTCACACATGGAATGTGCAAGAGCAGGGGGTGGTAAGGAACGAGTGGGAGAGATGGCATGCGGCACTTAATTTCAGTAAATACTTTAGAAAACTAAAGTATTTAGAGATGACTAAGCAGCTTTCAAATAAGGCACTCTTGATACTGCCTAATGGAATGGCAAGGATATGTTTTTGTAGACTATAAACATACATATAATTGTCAGTGAAGTCACTAAGTGCCAACAAACAAGCTATTCTTCCACTGCAGTAACCACAATGCCCTGATCAGTTTTGTGTCATATTTCTCAGCAAGTCCAAAAGACTAAGAAATCAGATGCCCATGGAATTCCTGTGGAATATTTCATACAAATATGTATTATTAAACAATAACACAATACTGACATGTTATATGTGTGCAAAAAACTCATGCTGCATATCCTTTGTACAGCAAAAAATGTATTTCCAATGTCATATTTATAATTCCAAGGCTGTATGCTCCTGACATTAAATTTCTAATCTATGCCTTGCTATTTTAGCTTTATATGAGTATACCTAGATCACATGCTGGAACAGGATTCACTTTGTTATATACATTATGAATACCAGCAATAAAGTAATCAATCTTAAAAAAATATGGCAATACAATTTCTGGTTTGTGGTCTGGCATGTAAGAGTTTGGAAAGTGTCATTCCCGTCCACACAACAGGAAAAAGTTAAAGTGAAAACCAACAATTCTTACAGCCATTCGAGAACTGGGATCACAGAGAGAACCACTGCCCCCAAAATTGGAGAGGCAGATATAAAAATCACAAGTTATCATGAGGTGAAACCTCCAAGGGTATCCAGGACCAGTGTAGGAAAACCTAACCTGTAACTGATGAACTGCTGGAGGATTAGCGTAGACAAGTCTGACAGTAAAAAACCCCACGGGTCCAGTCTTAGGGGGACCCCACACTTCTGTGAGTTTTGCCTCCAGGAACTCTATGTTCTTCAAGTGCACATCAGAGAAAGGTCTCCCGTGTTTTTCAGCAAAGAGTGAGGAATGGGAGCCATTTTTAAGTAAGCCAGAGCATTCTGTTCTTAACAAAGCCTATCCTGAAGAGAAACTACTTCCCCAGAGCCCAATCGACGGGTTTTACTAGAAACTAACCAGCTCTGGGGAAGAGAATTATCCAACACTAGCCTTCCACATAGGGAAAAAGAAATACCCAACTCTAGCCCCCTCTAGCCTTTTTGTATGAACTAAGTAAAAACCAAAACAAAACTGAGACGTACTTGTGTTCATCACAGCCCAGGGGCAGACTCACTAAGACTGAAATCTAAGCACAGCAGTACATAAAGTTTCCCCTTCCCCACCACCTCACCATCATCTGTAACATGGCTCCTATATAATAGGGGAATATTTAAGAAGTCTCTAGGGAAACTCAAAACACATACAAGGATACTGAAGGAAATTTTACCCTCACCTACAGCTACAGCAAACAGTATGGCCTAACCCCTATCCAGATAAATATAAAACCTCAAAATAAAGGCCTATTTACCTCACTTCCTTTTACCCAGAATTATCATGTCTAATTTCCAACAAAAAATTACAAGGAATATTAAAAACTAAATGGCAACAGGATTCAAGTATTCCATAATCTTTAAAAATGTTAAAAATGTAATCTTTGGAAATATCAGAGGTAAATTGTATACAATAACTTAAACGTGTAGGTAAACATACAATCACTAAAATACACATTCATTTTATGTTTAAGTAAATTACAACCTAGCCCTTTAAAGCAGTGGTTCTCAACCTTCTGGCCCTTTAAATACAGTTCCTCATGTTGTGACCCAACCATAAAATTATTTTCGTTGCTACTTCATAACTGTAATATTGCTACTGTTATGAATCGTAATGTAAATATTTGATATGCAGGATGGTCTTAGGCGACCCCTGTGAAAGGGTCATTCGACCGCCAAAGGGGTCGTGACCCACAGGTTGAGAACCGCTGCTTTAAAGTCAGGAGAAGCAAGGATGCTCAACCCTTAATGATACTACTCAACATCATAATACTGGAGATCTCAGTCAATGCTGTTAAGATATCAACAACACAAAAGGTTTATGTATCAGAAAAAGGTTTAAAAATGTCACTATATCGACATATTTAGAAAATATAGTGTTCAGTAAGGTGTCTGCATAAAAAATTAGTACATAACATTATTAGTTTCCTATACATTAGTACAATCCAATTAGGAAATATCAAAGACAAACAGAATTTCAAGCAGAATAGTAATATAAAATCCATAAAATATCTAAAACAAAGTTAATAAGAAATGTGCAAAAATTACATGAAAAGGTCTATACAAATTAAGACACATGCCATGTTTCTCAACGAGATTACTCAATTTTAAAGATGTCAATTCTCATCCCTTATTCTAAATTTAATGCAATCCTAAAGTAAACACTTATAAAAATATGCATTATGAAATATCTCATACAAATAAAAACATGAAGAAAATAATAAGGGCTCAAATAATAATCCAACTTAAAAAATAAGACATTACCAATACAGTTGAAAAAGATCTATGAAAGAGATCTCTTCTATGAAGCAGCAAAATACACTAACACCAACAATTAAAACAATATGGTAGTACCAGTATATGTGTAAACACATGTACCAAAAGAAATGTATTTCAGAAATGGACTCTTAACTATATGAAAGCATAGTATATAATAAAGATGACATTTCAAATCACTAATAAAAAGATTGGCTATTTAATGAACTGTCTTTAGATAGCTGATTAGCATGAAAGAATAGTTAAACCCTCACCTCACACCACACAAATCAACCAATCTTCCACATTTCACAGATCAAAGCGCTAAATATAAAAACCAAAATTATAAAAGTAGTAAACAGAAAGATGGTGGACATGGAGCACCAGGAATCTGCATCGCCACCCAACAACCACAGGGGCAGAATCAGCCTGATGTAACTATTTTCGAACTCGAGTCTGTTCAAGGATTACAACCACCAGCGGAAGGCTTGAAAGGTAAACCACAGTAATTTCAGGCAATGTCAGCCCTTAGCACAGTAGCATTACCCATCAGCCAGCTCTTGCTGTGTTCCTAGAGCAGCTCACACTCGGCTATGGTAGCCAGAGTAGGCAAAAAGGACCCGGTCCTCCAAATATCTCCACTTCTGATCACAGAGAAGAAAGAGATAGGCAGCCAGTGTTGGAACACCTCCCCACACTGTTTGTTGCAAGCCCCTCCTTGTCTGGCTGCAGTGACTTCCAGGGGATTTAAAAAGCTAGCACCTGCCCGGCCGGTGTGGCTCAGTGCTTGAGCATCAACCCATGAACCAGGGAACCAGGAGGTCAGGGTTTGATTGCTGGTCAGGGCACATGCCTGGGTTGCAGGCTTGATCCCCAGTAGGGGGCGTGCAGGAGGCAGTTGATCAATGATTCTCTCTCATCACTAATGTTTCTCTCTCTCCCTTCCTCACTCTAAAATCAATTAAAAAAGATTTTTTTAAAAAAGCCAACAACCCATTCTCCTCCTCCCCCCACCCTTTATCTTTCATATTTTACCCTTTGGGGAGCTAGACATAACAGACTAAGACATTCAAAAACAAATGCATATATGAGGAAAATTAGAAATTAACTGTGCATACCCAGGGAAAGGCTTAGAAAAGATTATACCTCATTTGTCCTTTTATGCTATCACAAACAATAAAACATAAACTCACTTATTCAGCCAGCCAGCCAGCATGTAATAGATTCTCCAAGGTATTAGATTTGATGCTTTAGATACAAAGTAAATAAGGTCAGGGCCCCTATAGAATTAAAAATGTGGTGGGAGAGACTAGAGAACAATTATTACTATGTAAGAAGTTCCATGCCATAATAGAAAAATGAATTAAAGAGCTGGTAGGAATGCAGATAAATATTTGCTAAGTCAGGAGATAGCTGGGGAAGATTTTGTAGAGGTGACTTTTGATCTAGATCAGTGGTTCTCAACCTTCCTAATGCTGCGACCCTTTAATACAGTTCCTCATGTTGTGGTGACCCCCAATTTCATTGTTACAAATTGAACATAATTAAAGCATAGTGATTAATCACAAAAACAATATGTAATTATATATGTGTTTTCCGATGGTCTTAGGTGACCCCTGTGAAAGGGTCGTTCGACCCCCAAAGGGGTCGCGACCCACAGGTTGAGAACTGCTGATCTAGATGAACAGAAAATTGGAGGTTGGAGGGCAGGATTTCGGTAGAGGTAACAATATGTGCATAGTTTAGACGGCACAAAAAAGTGGGGCATGTGCCAAAAAAAAGTCAGCCAAGACCACTTACTACCTAATATGACTTTGGGCAAAAAAACTGGATCTATTTCAACTGGAAAATAAGGATAATGGTATCTTCCTCCAAGGGTTTCTGTTAGGAAAATGAGATGGTAAATTGAAAAAAATGTGAGTGCAATCTGGTCTGGCTGTCACATCTTGCACCCCTGATTTCCAAGGCCGACTGAGCTGTTTTAGCTCCTTCTCTCACTTTTCCTCCAGAAGTCATCTACTTGGTGAAAGAGCACAGCCTTCCCAGTCATGTACAATGGTCTAGCACAGTTTGTGACATCATTTACTCAAAAAAACATTAATTTATTTTCCTTCCCCCCCCTTTTTTTTAACCAGATTTTCGGAGATCCATTGAACTACTCTCTGTGACACTCCTTAGAACTGCCCTGCAATTACTGCTAGGGTCCTGATTCTCAACTTAGCACCAGCAGTATGTTTCATAAGCACCCACCCAATCTGTGCGTATATTAATTCATACTTACAGGTTGAGGCTGTTCTGCAATACAGCAGTTGAAACACAACCAGAACTCACTCATGCTTATAGTCCAAAGTATAAATGAGCACCAAGGAAATTTCCAAATCTCTACTTGGGAAGCTTCACAAAGCACACTCCTCAGTATGATGGATGTCCAATGATGTCCAAATAATAATTTTAATACTTCCTTGTGTTTTAGTTCCTGGAAGTCAAGTATCTTATGTAGTCAAATTAATTAAGAAAAAGACAGAATGTTTCCTTTCTTTGCTTGTGGTTCTACAGAGACTTGTTTCTGAACCACCAGGAAGGTATAAATGTTGTCTTGGCTCAGGTACTCTAGAAAAAAAAGAAAAAGTAAAGAAAACAAGTTACTTTACTTATTTGTAGAAGCTTTTATTTCTTTCATTTTTTTATTGTGGGCAGTATTACAGATGTCTCCCATCCCCCCCTTTTATCCCCTCTGTTCAGCCCCTACCACCCCTCAGATCCTTACCACCCTATTGTCCACGTTCCATGGGTTATACATATAAGTATACTAGAGGCCGAAATTCGTGCATGGGGCAGGGGATGGGGGTGGTGTCCCCTCAGCCCAGCCTGCACCCTCTCCAATCCAGGATCCCCAGGATCGGGCCTAAACCGGCAGTTGGACATCCCTCTCACAATCCTGGACCACTGGCTCCTAATTGCTCACCTGCCTGCCTGCCTGGTCACCCCTTACTGCCCCCTCTGCCGGCCTGGTCGCCCCCAACTGCCACCCCCCACCAGCCTAGTCGCCCCTCACTGCCCCCAGCCTGCCTTCCCAATAACCCCCAATTTCCCGCACCCTGTACTCCATGAAGCGA